CCCCAAAACGGCCCAAGAGGGCCCCAAGACGGCCCAGGAGGCGCCCAAGACGGCCCAAGAGGGCCCCAAGACGGCCCTAAGAGGGGGACCACGAACCGAACCGTTTACCCTTTCGTCCCAAGAAGCTCCCAGGAGGCCCCCAGAGCCCCCCAAGAAGCCCCAAGAGGTCCCCAAGAGGTCCCCAAGAGGCCTCCAAAAGGGCTCCAAAAGGGCCCCAATAGAACTCCCAAGAAGGCCCAGAGACGCCAAATAGAGAGCGATCGGTAGCGCAATTACGCTACCGAGGAACCCCACATACTTAGTTTACATTTCATGTACGTGCGCAAATTATAATATTTGCGCAATTCTGCGTTCTCAGCCCTCGTCGCGAATGTTCCCCTATGTGTCATCCAACGCCATATTGCTTGAACCTCCTCCCTCTTCCTAGCCTTCTATCCTCCATCGAGGACAGATTCGAGCCAGCCAGCGACCGCGGTGAGGGACCACCCCCTGCGCACCCTCTATGGTGCCGAGAAAGTGCCACGCCTGCTATGCCCTGGACGACCGTCGTGCATAGCGGCCGCGGTGAGGGACCACCCCCTGCGGACCCCCTATGACGTCGAGAACGTGCCACGCCTGCTATGCCCTGGGCGACCGTCGTGCATAGCGGCCGCGCTGACGGACCACCCTCTGCGCCCCCCCTGTAGTGTCGAGAGAGTGCCACTCCTGCCACGATCTGCGAGCGTGTCACGGATAGAGGCCGCGTTGAGGGACCACCCTCTGCGCACCCCCTGTGGTGTCGAGGAAATGCCACTCCTGCCACGGTCTGCGAGCGTGTCGCGGATAGAGGCCGCGCTGAGGGACCACCCTCTGCGCACCCCCTGTGGTGTCGAGAAAGTGTCACTCCTGCCACGATCTGCGAGCGTGTCGCGGATAGAGGCCGCGCTGAGGGACCACACTCTGCGCACCCCCTGTGGCGTCGAGATAGTGCCACTCCTGCCACGATCTGCGAGCGCGTCACGGATAGAGGCCGCGCTGAGGGACCACCGTCTGCGCACCCCTGTGGTCGTCAGAAAGTGCCACTCCTGCCACGATCTGCGAGCGTGTCACGGATAGAGGCCAGGGACCAGCCCTCTGCGCACCCCTGTGGTGTCGAGAAAGTGCCTCCTGCCACCTGCGAGCGTGTCACGGATAGAGGCTGAGGGACCACCGAGAAAGCCACCCCCTCCTGGTGTCGAGAAAGTGCCACTCCTGCCATCTGCGAGCGTGTCACGGATAGAGGCCGCGCTGAGGGGACCACCCTCTGCGCACCCCTTGTGGTGTCGAGAAAGTGCCACTCCTGCCACGATCTGCGAGCGTGTCACGGATAGAGGCCGCGCTGAGGGACCACCCTCTGCGCACCCCCTGTGGTGTCGAGAAAGTGCCACTCCTGCCACGATCTGCGAGCGTGTCACGGATAGAGGCCGCGCTGAGGGACCACCCTCTGCGCACCCCCTGTGGTGTCGAGAAAGTGCCACTCCTCTGCCAGCGTGTCACGATAGAGGCCGCGCTGAGGGACCACACTCTGCGCACCCCCTGTGGTGTCGAGAAAGTGCCACTCCTGCCACGGTCTGCGAGCGTGTCACGGATAGAGGCCGCGCTGAGGGACCACCCTCTGCGCACCCCCTGTGGTGTCGAGAAAGTGCCATTCCTGCCACGATCTGCGAGCGTGTCACGGATAGAGGCCGCGCTGAGGGACCACCCTCTGCGCACCCCCTGTGGTGTCGAGAAAGTGCCACTCCTGCCATGACCTGCGAGCGTGTCACGGATAGAGGCCGCGCTGAGGGACCACCCTCTGCGCACCCGCTGTGGTGTCCAGAAAGTGCCACTCCTGCCACGATTAGCCTGTTTTGTCTGTGCTGCGGTGTGCTGTGCTGTGCTGTGCTTTGCTGTGATGTGTTGTGCTGTGCTGTGCTGTGTTGAGCTGAGCTGAACTGTGCTGAGCAGTGCTGTGCTGTGCTGTGCTGTGCTGTGCTGTGTGCGTGAGGAGGAGGAGTAGGAGGAGGAGGAGAAGGAGCAGGAGGAGGAGGAGGAGAAGGAAAAGGAGAAGGAGTAGGAGGAGGAGGAGGAGGGAGGAGGAGGAGGAGGAGGAGGAGGAGGAGGAGGAGGGAGGAGGAGGAGGGAGGAGAGGAGGAGGAGGGAGAGGAGGAGGAGGAGGAGGAGGAGGAGGAGGAGGAGGAGGAGGAGGAGGAGGAGGAGGAGGAGGAGGGCGGGTGTGGGTGAGACGCGGGTGCGGCGCGGGTGGGAAGAAAACCATAACCCCACGAAGCATGTGGGGAAAAAGCTCTTCACACCAAGGCTCCCAAGAGCGAGCGGTGACGTAAATAAGCTGATAAGACCAAGGCTCCCAGCAGAGAGCGGTGACGTAACACATTCCTGAAACCAAGGCCCAGCCAAGGCTCAGGAACGGGCGGCAACGCAACAATCTCTGAACACCAAGGCTCCCACGAGCGAGGGGTGACGTAATAGCTCTCAACGCCAAGGCTCCCGGTACGAACGGTGGTGTGAGTAATTTCGGTTTCTGTTTCTGAAGCGCTCTTTCCGTTTCTGTGCCGGCCCAGGTAACGGAAAGAGCGAGGTACGAGTGATGACGTTGTGTTTTGGGCGAAGCCCTTTAAGGGGAGGTTCCAGGGGGGGCGTGCGGGGAGTGGATGGGTTTAATGGTCGTTTTCGGGTTTTCCCTTGGGTTTTTGCATGTTTTTTGGGTTCCCCCCCAAGACGGCCCAAGAGCGCTCCAAGAGAGCCCAAGACCGCCCAAGACGGCCCAAGAGGCCCCCAAGAGGCCCCCAATAGGCGCCCAAGGGGCGTCCTAAGAGGGCCCCAAGAGGCCCAAATCATTGATTTTCCACAGGGAAACGTACATTTTTAGCATATACGGCTTTTCGGCTTTCACAGCGTTGACGACGGCCCAAGAGGCTCCCAAGACCGCCCCAAGACGGCCCAAGAGGCTCCAAAGACCGCCCCAAGACGGCCCAAGAGGCTCCCAAGAGGCCCCCAAAACGGCCCAAGAGGGCCCCAAGACGGCCCAAGAGGCGCCCAAGACGGCCCAAGAGGGCCCCAAGACGGCCCCAAGATGGGGGACCACGAACCGACAAGTCTAGCCTATCGCCCCAAGACGCTCCCAGTAGGCCCCAAGAGCTCCCCAAGAAGCCCCAAAGGCCCCTAAGAGGCGTGCGTCCCAAGAGGCCACCAGGAGGCCAAAACCATTGATGCCCTATGGGGAAAAGGTACATTTTTAGCACATAAGGCTTTTCGGCTTTCACGGCGTTGAAGACGGTCTAAGAGGCCCCCAAGACCGCCCAAAGACTACCCAAGAGGCTCCCAAGAGGCCCCCCCAAAAAGCCCAAGAGGGCCCCAAGACGGCCCCAGAGGCGCCCAAGACGGCCCAAGAGGGCCCCAAGACGGCCCCAAGATGGGGGACCACGAACCGACAAGTCTAGCCTATCGCCCCAAGACGCTCCCAGTAGGCCCCAAGAGCTCCCCAAGAAGCCCCAAAGGCCCCTAAGAGGCGTGCGTCCCAAGAGGCCACCAGGAGGCCAAAACCATTGATGCCCTATGGGGAAAAGGTACATTTTTAGCACATAAGGCTTTTCGGCTTTCACGGCGTTGAAGACGGTCTAAGAGGCCCCCAAGACCGCCCAAAGACTACCCAAGAGGCTCCCAAGAGGCCCCCCCAAAAAGCCCAAGAGGGCCCCAAGACGGCCCCAGAGGCGCCCAAGACGGCCCAAGAGGGCCCCAAGACGGCCCCAAGAGGGGGACCACGAACCGAAAAGTTTACCCTTTCGTCCCAAGAAGCTCCCAGGAGGCCCCCAGAGCCCCCCAAGAAGCCCCAAGAGGCTCCCAAGAGGCCTCCAAAAAGGCCCGACAAGGGCCGCAATAGGACTCCCAAGAAGGCCCAGAGACGCCAAATAGAGAGCGATCGGTAACGCAAAAAGCTCTTCACACCAAGGCTCCCAAGAGCGAACGGTGATGTAAACAAGCTGATTAGACCAAGGCTCCCATCAGAGAGCGGTGACGTAACAAGTTCCTGACACCAAGGCCCAGCCAAGGCTCAGGAACGGGCGGCAACGCAACAATCTCTGAACAACAAGGCTCCCACGAGCGAGGGGTGACGTAACAAGCTCTCAACGCCAAGGCTCCCAGTACGAACGGTGGTGTGAGTAATTTCGGTTTCTGTTTCTGCAGCGCTCTTTCCGTTTCTGTGCCGGGCTAGGTCTAGTGGCCTTCGGCCCATCCCGCCACCGTGCCCGGACTGAAGATGTTCGTTTGGACATCGTGGTAGTCTTCTCGGGGGCCTCTTGCAAGCAGTTTTGAGGCCCCTTGGGAGCCTTTGGGGGCCTCTTGCAGCATATTTTTCGGCCGCTTAGGGGCCTCGTTGGGCCTCTATTGGGCCTTTTGGGCTCTCTTGGGGGCCTCTTGGGGCCTGGGGGCTTCTTGGAGCGGAAGATTCGACTTGTCGGTTCGTGTTCCCTCTCTTGGGCCCCTCTTGGGGCCGTCTTCGAGCTCTCCTTGGCGATCTTGGGAGCCTCTTGGGCCGTTTTGGGGCCCTCCTTGACCGTCTTGGGGTCCTCTTTGGGGCCTTTTGGGCGGTCTTGGGACGGTCTTGGGGGCCTCTGGGGCCATCTTGGAGCGTCGGAATCCCGAAAACGCGAGAACGCGAAAAACACAAGGATCATCAATGATTTCTGCCTCTTTGGGTCCTCTTGGGGGTCGTCTTGGAGCGCTCTTGGGGCTTTTTTGGGGCCCAGGCCCCCAGACTTGCCCCCAGCGATCTTCCGAATGCATTGTCGCCGTGCATGCTTATCCCCGTGTTCTGTATCAGGGCCGGCCTTGGGCCGATCGGGCGTTGCGTTGCGATCATCACACGACCAGGCCAAGGCACACCACGCCCGCTGGCAGACGCTTAGGCGCGAGTGTCCATCGCATCCGCCGCGCCGCGCGCTTTCCCGTCGCCTCTCGAGCTGCGCCGAGGGTGGTTTTGTATGGTCGTGATGGGTGCTGGTGCGGGCGCCGCGGCGCGCCAGACAGAGAAGGTTAGCGATACAGTCGTAACCGATTGTACGGATAGGCAACTTTCCCAAGGGTACCCTTGCATCCTTGCCTCTTCGGTCCATCTTTGACCACTTTCGAAAAAGCTTCAACACTGGCGTCCGAGGGGCTTGCATCCTCATCGCGCATTCTTGCTATCGGTTATGACTGTGCGAGGTCTCCACTGGGACAACGATTACGAAAGAAGATGTGCTTGCCGTGCAAAGCGCGTGGGCGGACGCGATCAGAAACATCTCCAAGGTTTACAAGGACAAAGGTGACTACGTTGCTGCGGCTGCAGCCGCAGCTGGCGAGCTCTACGCATACGGCAAGCACAGCGTGCTCTTCAAGCCGACCAAGGCTTCCGAGCACCAGTTCCGGCCCACGCCCGAGGAGGCCATGTCCTATTTTGTGGGCGGCAAGGCTGTCGACAACGGCTACGCCGAGGACGGCGGCTTCGCGATCAATGGCGGCAAGGGCTGGTCGGACTGCGTGTACGACAACCACCAGATCGAGCTCATGGGCGAAGCCGCCATCGCCATGGGCAACTATTTCTTCACCTGTGCAACCACTGGAGAGAAGACCAAAGTCGAGTACACCTTCGGGTACCGACGCTGCGACGATGGTAAGGTGCGCATCTTCTTGCACCACTCGTCCGTGCCGTACAAGGTCCCCAGCAAAACTGAGATTACGAAAGAAGATGTGGTTGCCGTACAAAGCGCGTGGGCGGACGCGATCAAAAACATCTCCAAGGTTTACAAGGACAAAGGTGACTACGTTGCTACGGCCGCAGCCGCAGCTGGCGAGCTCTACGCATACGGCAAGCACAGCGTGCTCTTCAAGCCGACCAAGGCCTCCGAGCACCAGTTCCGGCCCACGCCCGAGGAGGCCATGTCCTATCCGTAAGGGCTTCGCCCCATGCCGCCGGCCCCCTGTCTCGGATAATGGGAGATGCAAAAGCTAAATCATGAGGTCTGGGCGCCGCCGTGAAGCAGTGTCGGGACCTGTTTGTTTTTCGACCCTGACCCTACGGATCTGCGAGAGGGGTGCCGCCGAATTTCAGAAATGTGGCAACTCCCTTGTGTTTTTGGACCCTGACCCTGCCGATCTGCGTGAGGGGTGTTTCCGAATTTCAGAAATGTGGCAACTCCCGTGTGTTTTTGGACCCTGACCCTGCCGATCTGCGTGAGGGGTGCCGCCGAATTTCAGAAATGTGGCAAATCCCGTGTATTTTTGGACCCTGACCCTACCTGCAGATGGCTTCGAGTGTGGGGCCCCCGCCCCACCTTTCCTCACCCGAGGCAAGCCAAAATGCTGCAGCACAGACCCGACACGCACGGTCCACATCCAGGCCCAAAACTGGGCCTCCAGTATTCATCCAGAAGGGGGCCCGCTAGGGCCGCATGTGTCTACACAGTCACTACGATTAGCACTACCGATCTGCGTGAGGGGTGTTTCCGAATTTCAGAAATATGGCAAATCCTTTGTGTTTTTGGACCCTGACCCCGCCGATCTGCGTGAGGGGTGCCACGGAATTTCAGAAATGTGGCAACTCCCGTTTGTTTTTGGACCCTGACCCCGCCGATCTGCGTGAGGGGTGCCACCGAATTTCAGAAATGTGGCAACTCCCGTGTGTTTTTGGACCCTAACCCTATGGATCTGCGTGAGGGGTGCAGCCGAATTTTAGAAATTTGGCAACTCCCGTGTGTTTTTGGACCCTGACCCTGCCGATCTGCGTGGGGGGTGCTGCCGAATCTTAGAAATGTGGTAAATCCCGTGTATTTTTGGACCCTGACCCTACCGATCTGCGTGAGGGGTGTTTCCGAATTTCAGAAATGTGGCAAATCCCGTGTGTTTTTGGACCCTGACCCCGCCGATCTGCGTGAGGGGTGACACCGAATTTCAGAAATGTGGCAACTCCCGTGTGTTTTTAGACCCTGACCCTGCCGATCTGCGTGAGGGGTGTCAATTTTTACCCACCCCAGCAATTCAGAGCACACGCTCAGGGCGTGGTAAAAATATCCGTTTTGGGCCTCCCCCCCTCGCGCGGTCCATCCACAAGGAACAGTAAGCAGCAAGAAGCAGAATTGTAAACAGTGGAAACTGGAAGCTGCAAAGAAGCAGAACTGTAACAGTGGCAACTGGAAGCTGCAACTGGTACAGGAAACCGCAAACCTTAGGCCTACAGCCTGGAGGCCCCACATGGGGGCCGGCGGATTTTGTGGGCGGCAAGGCTGTCGACAACGGCTACGCCGAGGACGGCGGCTTCGCGATCAATGGCGGCAAGGGCTGGTCGGATTGCGTGTACGACAACCACCAGATCGAGCTCACGGGCGAAACCGCCATCGCCATGGGCAACTATTTCTTCACCTGTGCAACCACTGGAGAGAAGACCAATTTCGAGTACACCTTCGGGTACCGACGCTGCGACGATGGTAAGGTGCGCATCTTCTTGCACCACTCGTCCGTGCCGTACAAGGTCCCCAGCAAAACTGAGGTTACGAAAGAAGATGTGGTTGCCGTACAAAGCGCGTGGGCGGACGCGATCAGAAACATCTCCAAGGTTTACAAGGACAATGGTGACTACGTTGCTACGGCCGCAGCCGCAGCTGGCGAGCTCTACGCATACGGCAAGCACAGCGTGCTCTTCAAGCCGACCAAGGCCTCCGAGCACCAGTTCCGGCCCACGCCCGAGGAGGCCATGTCCTATTTTGTGGGCGGCAAGGCTGTCGACAACGGCTACGCCGAGGACGGCGGCTTCGCGATCAATGGCGGCAAGGGCTGGTCGGATTGCGTGTACCACAACCACCAGATCGAGCTCACGGGCGAAACCGCCATCGCCATGGGCAACTATTTCTTCACCTGTGCAACCACTGGAGAGAAGACCAAGGTCGAGTACACCTTCGGGTACCGACGCTGCGACGATGGTAAGGTGCGCATCTTCTTGCACCACTCGTCCGTGCCGTACACGGTCCCCAGCAAAACTGAGGTTACGAAAATTGAGGTTACGAAAGAAGATGTGGTTGCCGTACAAAGCGCGTGGGCGGACGCGATCAGAAACATCTCCAAGGTTTACAAGGACAAAGGTGACTACGTTGCTACGGCCGCAGCCGCAGCTGGCGAGCTCTACGCATACGGCAAGCACAGCGTGCTCTTCAAGCCGACCAAGGCCTCCGAGCACCAGTTCCGGCCCACGCCCGAGGAGGCCATGTCCTATTTTGTGGGCGGCAAGGCTGTCGACAACGGCTACGCCGAGGACGGCGGCTTCGCGATCAATGGCGGCAAGGGCTGGTCGGACTGCGTGTACGACAACCACCAGATCGAGCTCACGGGCGAAACCGCCATCGCCATGGGCAACTATTTCTTCACCTGTGCAACCACTGGAGAGAAGACCAAGGTCGAGTACACCTTCGGGTACCGACGCTGCGACGATGGTAAGGTGCGCATCTTCTTGCACCACTCGTCCGTGCCGTACAAGGTCCCAAGCAAAACTGAGGTTACGAAAACTGAGGTTACGAAAGAAGATGTGGTTGCCGTACAAAGCGCGTGGGCGGGCGCGATCAGAAACATCTCCAAGGTTTACAAGGACAATGGTGACTACGTTGCTACGGCCGCAGCCGCAGCTGGCGAGCTCTACGCATACGGCAAGCACAGCGTGCTCTTCAAGCCGACCAAGGCCTCCGAGCACCAGTTCCGGCCCACGCCCGAGGAGGCCATGTCCTATTTTGTGGGCGGCAAGGCTGTCGACAACGGCTACGCCGAGGACGGCGGCTTCGCGATCAATGGCGGCAAGGGCTGGTCGGATTGCGTGTACGACAACCACCAGATCGAACTCAAGAGTGACGCCGCCATCGCGATGGGCAACTATCGAGATGCCTGCGGCAAACCTCGCCATCTTTCCAGTGTAGCATTGGAACGTCTTTATGTTTGGTTTACAGGTCGCCCGAAAGACTTGGTAGATACATCCTGGGGCAATCTGGGAAGCAACGCCACGATGCCGTAGCGGTGGCCGTCCAACATTGAACCAGTTTATTTAGTTGCTTGAAAGATTTGAGCCTTCTGGGGGCCCTCGCGAGGGCCGTCCTGGACCATCCCAGGCCACCTCTAGGCTGTCTTGGGACCGCTTGGGGTTGTCTTGGGGGCATCTTTCGGGATCCCGCACAGGGTGTGTGTGTGTGTGTGCCCCGTGTTTGTGTGTGTGTGTGTGTGTGTGTGTGTGTGTGTGTGTGTGTGTGCGTGTGTGTGAGAGAGAGAGAGAGAGAGAGAGAGTTCGATCGTTTTTGCACCGACCCGCCCAACACAGATGCCCCCCAGCCGCCCGCAGCTCCCGATAGTTGCCGATATGTGGGGCATGCGGTGGGCATCTGTTTTCGGCAGTTCGGTGCATCAGCGGACCGAACTCATGTCCCCCTCAGGGTCACCCCCCCTTTGGCGGATCCCGAATCTTGGGCCTGCCACCCACGGATCCCCAGTCTTGGGCCGCTCTGGGGCCTGCTGGGAGCTTTTTTGGGGGCCTCGCCTGGGGCGCTCTCTCGACGATCGACGCTCGATCCATACCCCTGCTGCTCCACCCTCACTCTGGGCGCCGGGGGACCCAGGGCACGAGTCAAAACAAACGCGGCCACGGAGGCCACAATCTAATCCGTGCGGAGGAGGAGGAGGAGGAGGAGGAGGAGGAGGAGGAGGAGGAGGAGGGTGGCCGCTCTGGCTCCTCACGGGGTCGGGGCGTGAGCAGGGGCATGGGTCGAATAGCGATCGCCTTCTCCTTGTGAGCCTTCGGAACCCTCTTGGAACCCTTCCAGCCCCAACTCGGAACCATCTTTTTAGGGGAACCGCGAAGCCATCTTCAGAACCTGAAAGGCCCACGACAAGCAAAAAGGCGAGCCCCCCATACGCAGTTGTCTCAACATGCTGATGGAGGATTTTTGCCTGCTGCGGGCCGCTGTGGGGCCGTCTAGAGTCTAGGGCCACGTCGGGGCTATCTTTGGGACTCTTTGAGTTGTTTTTGTGCCTGCCACATATTGATCCCCGTCCTTGGGCCCTCTTGGAGCTATCCTGGGCCTATCCCATGGCGCTTCTGAAAGTCCTCCGAGTCCATCTGGAGCCCTTCCAGCCCCCACTTGAGGCCGTCCTCGGCGATGTCTGAGCCATCTTCAGGACTGAGAAGCCCCTTGGTAAGCAAAGAGGCGAGAAAGCCAGCATCATTACACCGCTTTAGTTTGTTGAGGATCTGGGCTTCCTGGGGGCCACCCCGGGGCTATCTTGTGGCCGCCTGATTCTAAAGTGAGCTGGAATACAGGCGAAAGGTAACGAATGTGTGTCCGCGGCCGTTTGTGCTCAAACGGCCGGCCGCCTATGTCTGACTATACCTCAGGGCGAGGTGTACGATTCGCCATCGAGACCGAAAACATCCTTGGCTTGAGATGGCCCGTCGCTCCCGCGACGACCTCCTACTACTGGGACTATTGTTACTACGATACAACAGAGCTGGAGCTGTGCTTCGTCACGGCGTAGCTTGTGGTCGGGCCTACCGGCCCCCTTCAAACTTGGTAGCGGAGCTGGCCTATTGTGGTCAGCTCTTATTCTACTCTTCGCCATCCACGGCACTATCTGGTGGACTACTGACATGGTGGAACATCAGGGTGCAGTGGGTCTGCGCGGAGGAATGCACATAACTACGCACAACCGCAAGGACATTTGCAGTGTTACCTCTGCCCTCGCAGAGGCCTCATACTCGATTCCTACATCCCTGCGTTACTACACTCCTGAAGTCCACCCACCTACGCCAATTGGAAATTTTTGTGAAGATACAATGCATGGAAACATGCGATGCGATATTGTGCTGCCTCCCCCCCACGCAGGCTTACGACAAAACACAACACACTTCAGCCAACCACATCTGACCGCGATTTACGGAGTCACTGGATTGGTGTTACTATCTTTGGTCTCATATGGGCTGCCACCGGGTGTGTTGTGGGACACATGTGTGTCGGAGGCGACACAAGAACGACCGGTTCCCACTGGGACCCGGCCGGTCAAGTACCTTTCCGCGAATTCGCTCGCGAGGTGCATGCCTGGATCAACTTGACCACAGGCATTAAGACGCCCTCTCAACAATCTGCAGCATTGCAGCGTAGTCTGGGAGGCGTCGCACGGACCATAGCCATGGGAGTTCCCCCAGCAGTTATCAATTTTGGCGTCAACATAGGTGGCCGCCATACTGATGGTTTCACCTACATTATGTTCCTCCTGAGCACGAAGTTCGAGAACTCAGAAGAGGAACGCCAACTCAACTCAGGTACAGCTCTCATTGACTTCCGAGTCCGTGCTGGAGAGCGGATCGACCAGACATTGGCACGCTTCGAGATAGCCCGCTATGAGGCTGAAGCGGCAGGTTTTAACATCCCCAACTTCCAAATTCTGACGGTTATTCGGCTCAGAGCCTTGGAAATGGGGACGTCGCGTGCACAGCAATTTCTACAGCCACTTCACCACCATGTGCCGAGGGGCCAGCGGCAATTTGACTCTCTGCTTGAACGCATGAGATCATATGCTCACATCGCTGAGCGAACCCCTGGCAACATTCGTGGTATCTTCAGCCGCGGTCACCGTGCCGAGACCTTTTCATGCTGAAACTAGCGCAGGGCAACCTGCTACGAACGTCTGGAACGACGATCCGCAACCAACGGAAACCACCGCGCTATTGATTCAAAATGGTGGTTCGGCCGCGGGGTCGCAAGATTCCTGGGCCAGGTATCAGGGGCCGCTGGCAACGGCGGCTCAGTCACTACCCATGTAGGCTCAACGGGGCAACCCCGCTGAGTCCGACGTCGACTCTGGAACCGACGCCGACGCGTCTTCGGGCGACAAGGCGCATGCCCTAGTCTACTCCGACATGCCCGCGTATCTTACGGGAGAACAACAGGCTCAATGGCTATTCCTAGGATAGCTGATACGTAAACGCAGGTGGAGACGATTTATGAAGATGCCAGTTCGTAAGGCACGACGTATTATCCGACGGGTACTTAGGAGAAAAGGTAAGGGTAGAGGCAAGGGTGAGGGCAAGCGACGACGACTGCGTGTCAGAGGTACGTTAGCTTTCATGGCATCCTTTGCTGGTCCGCAACGCGAAGAGTGATTCCCAGGTGCAGGTAGGAACCGTAGGCGCGCCTCAGGAAAGGGTGAGGGGCGTCGGGGCAACCCGAAAGACGCTAACGGCAAGACAACGGAATGTGATATCTGCCATAGCACGCAACATTTTCGCCGTGAGTGCCCTCGGGGCGATGGGGGAGGCAGAGGTCCGTCGATGCATTCGGCTCAAACTGATTCGGACATACAGTATGTTGATTGGGAGACACTAGTGGCAGACCCTGCCGACGGCCCAGTTGCAGTTGTTACTTACTTCGTGGCTGCCAGATACTTGAGTGCCGGCGTGTCAGCCGAGAATTTCGCCGACGAGCTCTTCGAGGAAATCTTCACTGGCCACAATGAGATCAACCTGGCGGACTGACTGGGCATGCCCATTGCGGGGCAACCTGCGCTTATGGAATGTGTCGAAGTGACGAAGGCAATATCATTCGCTCAAGCTGACTAGGGGCTGTCAAATCACAAGGGGCCCTTCAAAAGCGGGACAAAAAGAGGGCCAGCATCGAATGGCGGAAGCTTTGCCGAAATCTTGCATGTACTTGTTTCGCTTATGCCGACCGCGGATCCGGCTGCCCCGTGAGGCGTCCATCGATGGGGCCCCAACTTTAGAAAGACACCATGGTTCTGGTCTCACGGTGATGGTCGGGGTCGCGTCGCAGATCCGAACCAAGTTTCGCGCGGGGGGCAGTTGGCGAGAATGGATTTTCCGGCGGCTGAAGATCGCGAAATAATTCGTACCAAAGATATGGGAGAATCTTGCCCCTAATCACTACCTGAAGATATTCAATCGTGAGTGGCATGCGGGGGGGCCTGCTTCGTCCATGCATGAAGATGGCGACCAGCCAGAAGATGATGAAGCTGAGGACTTGGCCGAAGCAGTGGGCCCCGCAGCAGAGGCTCCTCCAGGGTGCGACGCGGACTGCTCCGGCACGAGCCTCTCCTCTGACGCGGGCGCCGCTCGCGACGACATTGATCCAGAAATAGAGCCTGTTGTCAGGGTTACATATTATATGAATCTCGAAGTTGGCAGGGTAGTTGTTCACCACGAGCCAAGGATTGGATGGATAAAAACCCTTATTGTAAGAAGGATTGACGTTGACCTTTATGAATTGGGCTGCAAAGAAAGGCCAATATCAAAAACGTGGCACTCAATAGGCCTGGTGCACTGGGCGAACTTAACCCTGACAGAGAGCCCATGCGTATTCAGCCGTGGGCGCCCGCAGTTCGGCTGGTGGCGCTCCCAGGGGCAGCGCCGAGGGCGCCTCCTCCTAGGTCGAGGACAGGTCAGCCTAT